TGAGCGTCGTCTTTGAGCGTCGTCTTTGAGCGTCGTCTTTGAGCGTCGTCTTTGAGCGTCGTCTTTGAGCGTCGTCTTTGAGCGTCGTCTTTGAGTGGGTTTTAGCTGAAATTCTGTGCAACCCTGGAATCAGGAACCAAGACTGGACACATTGTTACCCATCGACAGATTTTATTCACGTATCCAGTCCAGGGTCAAGTGACTGAGTAAACCTTAGGTTGCTGGTCTGTTTCAGGAATTATATTGTTACTGATTTTAAGTCTGTGTTTATTGTTTAGTAGAAACTTTTCTTGGGCCATAAAATAAAATTTAAAACAAATAGATTAAAATTCCTATAAAATTGAAAAGTCAGAGCAAACCAGTTCAATATTGCAAATAGGAGGACACTGCTTGCAGCCAAAGTTTTAGTCCTCAGACATTCTACAACGCTTTTCATCATCTATAAAGTATGCTCAAATTACGTGTAATCCTTATTGTTTTTTGCACAATAGCTTGTTGCAGATTCTTTTTTCCCAGTATTTTCCAGAAAATAAAGTTTAGAAATTTGCTCATTCGGAGTCATTAATACCCATTTGGCCTGTTGGTACATTATGTAACGTTAAATTGGTTTTGCTTTTTCTCCAGGAAACGAACGTCTCCAGCCAAGGATGAGCACATGGCAGGAGTGAAGGACTCGCTGCTGGCCCACTCGTCAGATCCTGTGGAGATGAGGAGACTCAACTATCAGACACAAGGCATGGACACACAAACACATGCACATGCAAACATTCAGCCCCATAAACAGACTTTTACTGAGGTCTAAATTTTTACCAGTTGCATCCAGTTTCTGTTTCTAAAGGTGCTGAGAAATTATCACTGAAGGATTGTGTTACTGAATCCATTGACACCCAGAAATAAAATGAAGGATCCTGTTTTTGAGGTGACAGGTGGCAACTAACTGTCAGATTCAGTTTCTCAAGTATCAGTGTCACCTCAGTCATTTTTGGATGAGACTTACACGGTTTTAAAACTTGTGTTTTAGTGTCTGTGCAAGAACATGAAACAACTGCTTTAGAAAATATCTTCATTCATATTTGGCACTTTGTCTCCATGTTGTTGTTCTTTTCACGTCAGAAGTGATATTTTCATGAGAGGGTGGAGTCCTAAGTTAGCAAGTTTAGCAACGTGATTTTAGAGATTTTTTTTTTTAGTTCAGTTTAATTTCATCAGTTAAGTTTTACTTACATAGAGCCAAATCACAACAACAGTTGTCTTAAGGCGCTTCATATTTTAGGTAAAGACACAATCCCAACAATCAGACGACCCCCTATGAACAAGCACTTAGCGACTGTGGGAGGGAAAAGTCTCTTTTAACAGGAAGAAACCTCGGGCAGAACCAGGCTCAGGCTGGTTGGGGGTGAAATTTTAAGAATGCCTTGCTCAGACACAGACTGACTGACTTTGCATTCATTCCAGTGATGAATGCAACGTAACAAATAAATCACATTTCTTGGACAGTCAGTTAATCTAACCATTTTGTTTATCACATACTTTAATTAAAAATGTGCCATCACCACACACACTGTCAGGAGGGCCATATATTAGCATGAATTTAAACATCTAGTGCTAATTATTGATGCAAAACTGACTCCCACTCATGTTTGTCACAGTGATTTCATTCACTGCCTCCTATTCCCTTACTCCGTTACTTTGAAAACGTGGCGTTAAAACAAAGTGTGTGTGAGACATCATACGTCTGCATTTTGTTAACTTCATTATCGTGCTGTTAAAGCCTGGGTGGCATATTGTTTCTGGGGCAGCCGTGTCTCCTAATGCATGTTTTTGGAGGCAGGAAGTCCGTCTATAACTAAACAGTTTTCAGCTGGCTTAGTCTGATGTTTATTTCTGAGAAAAATGTCTGATTTCCATCCATAATTTTCATGTGAAAAAGCATGTAAACACTCTAAGGTTGTGTGCATCGGGACATAATAAAACCAAATCACCTGGTCTGTACCAGCTTCTAAAATTAGATAAGTACACTGCTGGTCAAAAGTTTCAGAAAACCCCACTTTTTCCTGTTTTTATTGAAAATCATGCCGTTTATTGTCTCATTGCACTTTGAAATGAAAGTATAGTACAAATAAACAATTGGAAGCAAGAAATCTTGGAATCAATTTATAGACTGTGGTGGGGCGTGGTCTGCGGTGCCGTGCAGGGAGGGCGGACGCACCTGCACGGCATCCGTAATCACGCCCGCCGAGTTAAAACACGAGGACTCAGGTGTGTGTGGTGTTGTTTCGTGGTGAGAAGTGTAAATAAAATGGCTCTGAATGTTGATCTGTGGTCCCGCCGTGCCTTATTCTCACCACATAGACCAAAATGTATTCTCCGCTTTGACTCATCCCAGTCGCCTCCTTTGGCTGATAACAGCTGAACACACTTGTGTCATTCTTTCTACAATAGAAATCAAAGTTGTTCCCATATCTGTTGCAGAGGTTCCCATAAATGTGTGGCACACTGCTTTTATTTTCATCCAGAACACCTGCAGAAATCAGTAACACCACCTTTCGAGGCTTGATCAGCCTCCTGCAGAACAGCTTTAAATTGTTCACCCGTTTTGTGTTCTCTGAAAAAAGGACTTTTTGTATGATTGTGAAATACACACTATTTTTCATTTTGCTGTAACCTTTTAACCTCTGGCGGTTCATCTCTTACCTTTTGTACCGTTTCATTGGACTTGAACAACTTGAATTGCAGTAAAACTGGAAAAATGCTCGGTGTTCAAGCTTTTCACTGGCAGTGTATAACATGTGATGTTTTAAACACATCATTACTAATTCATCAGAGACAAATGCAGAAGCGCTGTATGAATAAAATACATATTTACAGTGTCGATGGAAAGAGGTGCAAGTGGCAGCCAGGTTCTACTAATTAACTGCACTTGATGAGCAAGTGTATAAAAGCAGAGGTTTGACAGTTTTCTGGTCTGGAGCATTCAGGTGTGTTGACACAAAATGCAAAGATGACAGAATAAAGACATCAGCAGTGATTTCAGGGAAATCTTGTTGTTGCCCATCAATCTGGAAAGGGATATAAAACCATTTCCAAATGACTTAAAGTCATTCTGCAGTTACAAAGATTATTGTCAAATGGAGAAACATTCAAAATAGTCACCAGTCTTCCCAGTATGTGCAAGTCTCAATTTCACCACAAGGTCAAACTGTGCAATCTGCAAAAAATGCAAATGCTTCATCTTCTGGTCTACAGGACTCAGTAAGCACGTCAAATGTTAAAGTTCAGTTCATTTTTATTTCAAACATATACAGTCACCAACATTTCATAATATTATTCCATGCAGTTGATTGAAAAGGAGTAAGCAGAAGTATATACTTATTTAGCCCCACCCCCTATAGGTTTACATCTTAATCATTTCCTCACCATCTAAATTTGAACAACAAAACTTATACAATGGTTTCAACTTAGAACATAATGTCACAAAAGATTATTTATATGTTTAGATTTACTAATTTGGAAAGTAAACATCACTTTGACTGACAAGTGTGGCCTTTTTTACACCTCTTCTCTTTAAACATGGCAGCATGAGCTGGGACATGGACACCTTGAAGTCATTATGTCAGACATGATCTCTTCTATCTAATTTGAGAGCGTCTGTCCAACAGCTACAGGAAGCCTTGGATGAAAATGGCCCACAGAAGAAAGGGAATAATAACAAGAGCACCAGCAAATCTGTTAGGAGAAAAGAAAAGAACCAAGGTGTCGCTCTGCATTAGTCAAAGCCCAGACCTCAACCTGAATGAAGTATAAAATCCTCAGAAAGCTTTGCCTTGGCTTAGTTTTTGTTGAATAAGAATGATGCTAAATTTGTAAGTTATGGCCTGATGCATGAAACCTTAGATTTTCTTTCCGTATGATTGTGCAATCAAAGACTAAATTTACCATGAAAGCAATTAGAGTGAGATATTTCTATTCAGATGTTCAAAAGGGAAATCGAATGTCTTCACATCCAGTGATCGTTGAGCTGTCCACTCACCCTGACCTCCTAGCGAGGACTTTGTCCCAGTAACTTAGTAACCCTTTATTCCCATAAGAATTACTTATAACCCCTTAGCAGTCCTACAAATTTACAATTAGTCCCCTAAACCATCCAATGTACCGTGGGCGGTACGTCCGACTGCTAACAGGATAAACAATTAGTTTTCATATTTTTAGTCTGCATGCATACTGTAGCTCTGTTTTTCTGTTTCATCGTCTCTTTGTGTCCTCATTCATTCTCCCATCTGACTGTTTAACTGATTTTTAGCTTTGTTTTTCATCTGTTCTACGCCTCCCAGCATCTTCTCTTATCCTTTTCTCCCACCTGTCTTTCAGTGGGAAGTTTTAAGCATAAAGTATGTCATTGTTTTTTTGTCCACGTTCTTCTCTCTTGAGATGGGTGGCATTTACCTGTGGTGGCAGCAGCAGGAGGGATTTTGGCAGATGTTGTTTACTCGAGCATAAATTCATCAGCTCACTTGACAACGTCTGCACGCTGGGTGGCCTCGACGTTACTCATAACAAAACACTGGAAAAAATGACAGATGATATCATGATAATGAAGTCAAACTGTGATCTCTCTCTTTTTTTCAATAAAATGGAAACGCTCCACAACTTCTAGTTGTCAGTTCAGGTGACCGGGACCATTTTACTTTTGTAGAATTTCCAGGTTCATATCAGGTAACAGAATTAAACTATGAAAATCTTCATTTCCCTCTTTAATATAATGTGTATACAACACATGATAATGTTAAAAAAACAAAAAAGAAGTAATGATATAAATTTATTTAAACTTCACACAGCTTTTTCATTTTATTTTCTACTTCCATCATGGTCTTCCTTATATCACTCTACAGACAAGGCCATCAGGTGAACTAAATCAATAAAATACAAATGCTGCCACAGAGATAATCTGCAGTTTTTGGGTTGGAGTCCAAACTACTGACTCGTGCTGTATAATCATTGTTTTTTCTCTACAGGTTTCTCCAGTTTAAATATTTGTCATTTAGTTCCATTTATGTCTGTCTAGCAGGGCAGTAAGCCTCATGTGCACCTTCTAAATGAATTGCAGTGGAATTAATGGACGATTTGATCCAGTATGAGTCGCTGGGTGTTGTCCCTCAGTAGTTTTCAATTAGTTAACCAATCAGAAGAAAGTAGGGTTTCTGAAACGGGAACAGGGCTTGAAGAGACAGGAGCTAAAGCAGGTTAAAGAACCCAATGCAGACAATGTAGGCAGACTGATTTAACAGAAGGCCACTCAACGAAGCTGACGCAGAGTTTAAAGACAATATAATCCAAACAAGCTCACGAGATCACAGAAGGAAATGCATGAAAGACTGAGGCAAAGATAGAACTATATATACACATGGAGTGATTAAGGGATTGGAGACAGTTGGGACAGAGGTGCAGACGATCAAAACAGTAAAGTACAAATAAACACAAAGCAGTACAACAGGAGCTAACTCGGTGGATGACCGCGATACACAAGCTGTGCTGAACAAAGGCAACTGTGAGGAAACTAAACTCAAATAACAGAGAACAGTAACTAAACACTAGCTACAATTCAAACACAACAAGAGATACACAAGGGTGCAAAAAGTTCACAACTTTAAAGAAATAAACAAAAAGTTACAATGAAACCAAACAGGAAACACAGAAACAACTCAAAGCTTCAAAGAATACATAAACAAACATGATCCAAAGGGATGATAACGTAGTAACTACTAAACATGAATGAATGCAAAACACAAGGAGACACAAAACTGACTCTGCAGAAGCCACAGATTTAAAAAGTGTTATAATAGTTTTATCAATGAAGGGAAATCATTCACACAGGAATACACTAACACAAAAGACCAACAACGCTTTGTGTGCTTATGTTCGTTCGTCTGGTCATGATCTCGAACTCTGAGCATGTTACTACTTCAGCTTGAGCTAATTATTTTTGCCCTGCTTGTGAAACAATCAGGGCTGAAGGCGCACTCAGACACGAGCTGGTACTCACTGCTTCTGCTGTTTTTTAATTTGCTCCCTTCTGAGATAATGGCAGCCAAACTCGTTGTAACTTCCCACCAAGGCTCATTCTGGGACATCTGTGGCAACCGAAGAAAGCGCAGAGCAAAATAAGGAAACACGAGTCTGTATCTGAAAAAGAAAATCTCTTCTTCAGCACCAAACACATCACCATAAAAGTCTTGTTGGAACAACATCAAGTTTTAGTGTTTCTATTAAGCATTCACATATACAGAATTCACATATAGTGACGAGTTAATAAAATTGTTACATGTTACTAATGATTGCCTCTATTTTATGCTACACGCTGCTATTTTGGTTACAGTATGGATGAGATTGGAGTAGATGAGGATGCAGAGGCGCTGGATCAAAGCTCCAAAAACGCTCCAAACTTCCAGTGTTTTTGCTTCTGTTGCAACCTGACGTCTTTGCAACACGTAGCTTAAATGGACACTCTTCAACTGTTAGGCCACACCTAATCAATGTGCTCTCATGTAGTTACACATGTTTAGTCTTAATGTTTGCACCATTTTGTAATATTTTGGAGTTATTTTATTCAAAACAAGCACTGTTGGAAATGAAAGTTCTCTCAGCAACATAATCTTAATCTTGGTTGGACTGTATAAAGTAGATCTGCTCTCCCATTTGTCGAGTGTATTTATTGCATATTTCTTGCTTTAGCACAAAATCAAACTTAGACTTTAGTCCAATCAGTCCACAGCACCAAGGTCAGCCTCAATTGTGACAGATTTTCTTATGATGCTACTTCTAAATATGAAGGTTTTTGTTTTGTTGTTCCAGGTATCATTCAGCACATATGACATATATTGTTTAAATTATCACAACGAGCAATTTCAGGTTCAATAAACATTCATTTTACCCAAATGATTTTGTTCGTAATGTAGCAAAGACTGAAGTTGTGAATTAAGTTTGCAATAATTTTACAACACTGGCAAAAAACAAAAAGACGTTCACTATATTATTACTCGGGTGAGTTACTGAGGTCTTGTGATTGGTTATCGTACCCAAATCCTTTTAGAAGCAGCCATCTTGGCCAGAGTCTGAGCAGCTGTTCTGAAGCTGCTGTTTAAATGAAAGTGAAAAGACAAAGTTCCTATTGGCACAGTGACAGTATAACCACTTTAATACAATCATGACTTAAAGCAAATAAGAACAAACCAAGAAAAGCTAAAAGTTGGCTAAACGTTGGCTACTGCTGTGCATAGACAGGTTCCAGGACGTAAACATCTCAGTCCAGAGCATTAAACAGATACTGTGCTGGTTTATTATGGCTGCAAGTTTTTTTAAATGCATCTTACATATATTGGTACATATGCTTCTGGTTTCAGCAGTTTTTTCCTCTCTGGGACAGTAGTGAGAAAATCACCACTACAATAAATTTCAGGTTGGGTGTGATCAATGACTCTGTAACAGAGTCATTGATCACACCCAACCTGAACCAATGTGTCTGTGAGATGACGATGAACGTGTGTCTAAAAGAATTTCATTTGCTTTAAGATCTCCTTAGCAAATATGTAAAGTATACTTCACTGGGAATGAAGGACCTTCAAACACAGGGGTAAGGGCCTTTAAGTGTCAAGAGTAAGATGATGAGCTTCTTGAGGCTTTAATGCTCCTTGCCTAAAGAAATCCTCATTTTGAAAATGAAAAAAGGGAGACGTTTTATTCTTGGCAGCTGTGGTTCAACACAGATGTAAGAGTGCCAAGAACCAAACATCCAAAGGTGCTAATAACAGCAATGTTGGACCGAGACAGCCCAGTTAACCCAAAATGGACAGCTGAGTCGGACCACTTCAAATGAAACCAAAGAACAAACAGATACGAAGCACAGTCAGTTTATTGATTACAGTGAAACTGATGTTAAATTCTTTTAAATGTTATTCAGCCATCTGGGAAAGTTGTGTTCAGCGTCTCTTAAGTCTTTGCTGAGTAGGGCAGCTCCTTCCTCACTGTTCCTTGTGTCCTCTTGTCCTAACTGACCCCTGTGCTTTGGTTTTGCCTCATCTTTCCCACACAGGTTCCAGTGTCCTCAGTTGCCCGAATACTCCAAGTTAGTTTTCAATCCTCCTGTGTTTTACTAATGTTTCCTTTCATTCCCGCCTGGTGCCCTTTTCTGTTTTACATAGAAGCCTTTAGAAGTAGACACCTCCCATTTATCACCATCACCTTCTCTTCTCATGACCTGCCCATGTCAGCTATTTTACACCAAGTGGGTTTCATTAGCGCTGAATGTAGACTGTCTATCTAATTTAATAAAGCAATACATCTACCATTAAGTTAAAATATATACATATATATTTGACCACATCAGTTAAAAATGCTGTATTTTTTGCACCCCAGCCACCTTCCCACTCACCTACTGCTTTATGGGATTTCTTTAACCAATCAGCATGCTAGTTGGTGCTCATCTGCAGCGTGGTTACAGCATGCTGTTGAAGAGCTGCACAGCCAGACATCATCCCTCTGCTCAGCACACAGCACTCTCACTGTCACCTCATATCACTGCGACCAGTTAACACTGAGCCTTCAACATGCATCTGCACTCTGTGTGCGCACACATTTCTGTGCATGTGTGTCTGTGATGGACGGCACTCACCACTCTCGCTGTCTCTGCAGGGATGAGGGAACATCCTCCCATCGCTGTTTGTGACCTGGCCGACCACATTGAGAGACTCAAGGCCAACGATGGTCTGCACTTCTCTCAGGAGTACGAGGTAAATGTTCCTGCTCTTATACACGCCTTTCAAGTAAAGCAATGCACATTTCAGCCACTGTCAGTTATTTCAGATTTTATAAGCTAGTTTTCCGTAGAAAAAGACCTAGATGTGTAATAGGAAAGCCGCAATTACTGTGGCGTACAAGAGTGTGAGAATTGATCCTTCATGGTTCAAAATGGAGAATTAGGTCAGTTGTAAATTGCCAGGTGTATTGCTGCGGACCTGAGTGAATGCAGTGCTGAGTTTTCAGGTTGTTTGGATCAGTTTTTCTGATGTTTTGGCTAAAAGTTGTTTTCTGTTACCAGAGTTTGCACTGCAGTCATTACTGCATACTCTCGGCTGTGTGTAGAGGGGTTCACATGAACACAAAGACGTGCTCTTTTTGGCTTTGAACCTAATTTAGCTTAAAAAATGTTCTAGCTTTGTGAGAAATATATTTTTTCTAACAAAAACAGCTGGATTCAGATGATTTATTTACCTTTTTTGTTTGCATGTCTGCTTCTTCATACCAGCCTGCTCCTCTGAATAAGCACACTCTAAGCACACACATACTCAGTGAGCGTGTCCTTGCAGTTGTCCTCTTTTTAAAACAGAACAGTTCTTCTTCGCCTTAGTAATTGATTATAAAGTCACTTTAGAATAAGTGCTCACTTACGAATGTTAATCTCGAACTTCCTGGGTTCTAATTTTATGAGCAGCTTCTTCATCCTTCAGCCATCTTTATCTTGTTTTCTCTCGAGCACTTGAATAGTCTCAACCTCTCCTGTGGTGAAAGTCATCGTCTCTTTCCACCTTGATGACAGCCCTGCAGCTTCTCTCTCTTTTGTCTGGTTTGACGCCTCGTACTAACATGCTGCTCCAGCTACACCTGCATAGAACAATATTAGCTCAAAGGAAGCTTTGTGTGGGAGGTGCCAATTATGAGCTTAAAATAAGTCAGTGCTTTTTAAAGACAATAAATAAGTGAATTTCCTTATACTAGTCAACACTATAGATCAGTTGTTTGTTTTTTAAAAACTGAGCTGATATCAGCCTGAATAAGATACAGTGGCATAATATCTTTAGCCCCTCTTGAAGAAGTGAAGAGAAAATAATCTCCTTTGCTGACTCAAAACTTTCTTTTTCTTGATTTTTAGCCATCTTTAAACCTACTGTTTGTTTCACTCAGTCCACGTGTAAACATACATATTTACACAAACGCATCTGTAAAATCAGCATTTTATTTTGTAACTAAAATACCTCACACAGCACATTTTCCAAGAACCATTTTGCCCCCTGAGATGTTTTCATTTGTGTTGGCCGAGCATTACAGAGTTAAAGTTTAGATTAGCCAAAAAAAAAAGGATGCTGCTAAGTATGCATGACTTCTCTGCTTCCTTTCCAAGAATAATATTCGACTGCTTTTACCTACTGTAAGAGCCAGTGAGGGATTATGGCTTGTTGATGTCCTACAAAGGAAGGTAATTTGCATTTAAAGTGGTGAATTTCCAAGCGGATAAACCAGGACAGATGGGTGCACTGTTTATGCACAGCAGAAGGAAGGGGGCATATAAATTATGAAACAGCAACTGAATCAACTTTTCCACCTTTCCCATTTTTTCTTACCTCTGTGATGCAATGGAGGGAACTTTCTGCAGACAAGTTGTCCTGTTTGCAAAACAAGACGGTTCAGTTGAGATACGAACGTTTTGGTTTGAATGATCTGTTAAATGTGATTGTTCAGATGGAGAAAAGGAAATGCACAAAACTGGGTTTAGATTTCTTTGAAAATGAAATTTGATTTCTGATCACAAAAGTGTAAACTGTTAAAAAACAATATCATTGTTATTGTTATGACAGCAAACTGCTATCTACATACTTTCTAGGGTATGTGACAGCTGTATCGCTTCAAGCATCCGAGAGAGACTTTTTTAGACATGTTCTTGTTTAGAAGATCATTAAAATGTCAGGTGGTCTTATCCATAAACCATACTGTGGATGAAACATGGATTTAGCGATCGTGACTCATCCACTGGTTCAGATGTTGAAACCTTAGCTTAACACCGACGCCACTCTGTTGTTACAACAAACTGCACAACAGGCAGACATATTATTTTTCATTAAAATGCTCCAAAGACATCAGCATCACAAACAAGTCAAAAGGTCAGTAAACTGAAGTTTTTGGCCTTGGCTTCATTTTCAAAACATCTGCGCGGCTACAAGTCTTAGTATCAAGTCTTAGATGATTATTAATTAGCATTGAACATGAAGTTTTAAGAAGGCAACTTCTCCACAGAGCAACCATTTGCCACACATGCTGAAGTGTGATTGAGAAAGGATTTTCCAGAGGATGAGGCCAAAGCCTTTCAGAGCAGCAGGCTGACACTGGAGAGCACATTGTTGGGACGTGAGCCCAAAGTCTGCACAAGTGTCTAAAACCAGCCTGCAGAGCACATTTATTAACTTTCTCCAAGACTTAGAATAAGAAATGCAATTATTCATTCAAATTCCATTTTTAAAAAAATAAGTAATGAAGACAACAAGTTTAATGTTTGTATCCACTCGTGATGACATCCTGAGTGTGTGATGTGTAAGATGCTTCTTAGGCATGTGCACTAAAGAGTTCATTAAACTTTGATCAGGACAGAAGTGACAGAAGCATAAGGTCTCACACACTCTCACACACGCACACACACACACACACTCACACACACTCTCACACACTCTCACACACGCACACACACGCACACACACG